TCGAGCAAACATTTCTTCATTTATCCTGTATCGATCAATGATTTTCTGTTTAAAATTAAATCAGCTAAGTTGTAAATGACCATTACAGCGCAACAAAAAATTCAAAAAATGTGGTAAGATAATGCGCGATGGACAAGTGGCAAGTGGCAGCCGGCTCTACCGTGAATATGCAAATGCAGTCGACTGCACGAAATCTAGCACGCGTCGTAGGAGAATTTTGCCAACCACTTTAGTTAGATTTGATATTGAGAGCTACTGACTCAAAGGATACTACTGAGAATCTCGAATACAGCAGAAATTGCGCAACAAATGATAAAAACTTGCCGTCGTGTTTTCCTCTATTGGATTATTTCCTTTGGCCATTGTGATCGTGTTTTGTGGAGCAAATTTGAAGGAGAAGAAGCGTTGAAGAAGAAATGGAAAAAGAGAGGAGGGGAAAAGTACGCTCTCCGCTCCGGCAGTCTACCCAAACGAGAAACTGATGGCCAGCTCACACGGCCGCCTGCCTGCAATGAATACAGATCGCGCTATGATGTTCTTTCTGGAAGAGAACGATGACACGAGTACGCACATGTATAGTGTAAACATCTCAACGCTGAGCGTTAGTAATTTGATTTCAGTTTCGATCCTTCCTATGGAAAGACGAATAAAAAAGTTATAGAGAGAACATAAAAGTTATCAATGACACTGTATGAAGCCTCCCTTTTCTAGCTCACTAAACTCTAAAAGACTGCAATATGCTGTGCTCCCCTCCAATTACACTGCTAAACTCAGAGTTGTCATTATTAAAGCATTCTCCATCTAGCTCCTTCTTTTGCATATTTCTCACCGATGATCATCAGCATGGGCTGGATCTGCGACAAAAACGATAAACACTAGTGCGAAAACACTACATGCAATGAAGCAGGTCACGAAAATTCATTGCACTACTAAAACAATCGATGCCAGAAAGCGCCAGAACGAACATATGTTGTCGGGCCCTCCCGGCACAGCTCTTTCGCTGAGCCGCAGACTCAGCGAGAACTCGCGACACACTCCTTGGACTCTCAGATTCGGAAGGTCGACGAAATGGGGGATGCAAGAAGATGGCTTAGCTAAAATCGCATGGAATTCGCGGTATGCAGACCAAACAAGGCATTTCTCGCTACAAGAAAAACGCA